AAGAAAAAATACGTATTTTACTAATTATAATTAGTAAAAAATTTAAGCGTTGCATTATTTTTGATTGCCACTGTATAAACTTTAATTATTAATATTTATAAATTCTAATAATCATAAATAATATTATTTCTATTTGTTAATAATATATTATATAGATTTTTCAGCTTTATATAATGCTTTATCTAAAATTCATCTAATCTTGAAATTATGAGAATTCCAATAAATTTTTTTGAATATTCTAATAAAACTTCTTTATTATTAAATAAATTTAATAATAAAACAAAAAAATAAAAAATATTTTTAAATAATATTATATAATTATCTTCAAAATTATATATAGTATCTTTATAAACTCTATCTTGCCAATTTTTATATTGAATATATATTTGAGTTTCTTTAATTTTTCTTTTAATATCAATACCATTATCACTTCTACTTAGTCTATTTTGAAAATAATAAAAATAAGTATTTGTGTCATCATTATCAAGAATCAGAAACAAATTCAATTATATTCTGTTTATCACAGAGACTTGAATCTAGCTTATACAAATCCTTTTTAGAAATTAATATAGAATATTTAAATATAATATATAGCCTTGTTGTGCTTCCAATATATTAGATTTTACATCTAGTGATGTTTCCAAGTAACTTTCAAGAAACTTGGGAAACTTTAAAAAAGCTAAAGTAAAAATTCATATGAAACTTTCAGCAGTATCATAGAAAGTAAACTTTCTAATACATATATAAAGAAATAAGGATCATCACATGTTATAACATTAGTGATCCTAACCAGTTAAGATTTTTGTAACCAGTTAACTGGTTAAATTAAATGGTTAAAGTCAGTTTAATTAGTTTGATTAATTTTCTTATATGGAAGTTAATATTAATTGGTTAAATAATAAATATATGATTTATAATATATCATATATAACTATATAAAACAGATTTTATTTAGAATATACTACAAAAATATTAGAATTTTATTTAAGAAAAAGAATATCAAATAAACTTATTGAATTAAGTTGATTATATTTTTCAGTTAATGTATTTCCAGCTATTAAAAAAAGATGTTCAGAAGGAACAGAACTTGCTGGAATTGAAAGATAATAATAAGCTTATTGTACAAGAAAAGGAAAGGTAGTAGAATGAGTTTTTCACCATGTAATTAGACAATTTTTTTCAGAAGGTAACAAGTCAAGAAGGTTGAGATAAAAATCTAATTCAGTATAAGATGGTTGTGATAAATTTGTTGTGTTTAGAATATTAAATTAAGTAAAAAAATCTAATATTTCAGAAGAATCATTATTATGCAAAGAAGAAGAAAGTAGTTCAGGATTAATAAAAAATTTTAATAAGGATAGTGTTTATTCTTTTTTTTCTCTTAATATGAAAGCTAGTGATTTGAATCTTGGATCTAATAAAGATACCAAAAGATTTAATTCTTTTGGATCTTTCTATCATAATTCCATAGATTTGAAAATTATATCACAAACTTCTTGAACTATTAGTTTATTAATATGTAAATAAGAAACATGATGAAGATAAACAAAAAGATCTTCAATTGTTAGATATATTGCTGATAGAATAGAATATATGCTGTCACTTAAAAATCTTATTACTTTTTCAAATGAATGTAATAGGTAAATAAGTTCTTCTACTTTTTTTCAATCATTAAAAGTTAATAAAGTAGCTAATTTATTACCATCTTTATGAATTTGTTGATTATTTTCACATTACATTACTTTATATAATACTTTGATCAAATATTTAAGATAGATAAGTCTTTTCAAAACTTTTAAAGTTGAATTTCACCGGATAATAATATCTTGAATTGATACAAGAGCTTCTTTTGCCAGATTCAAAACTTTTTGAATTTGAAAAAACTGAGCTCAATATTTATTACGATAAACAAGAAATAAATTGAGAGCTTTTGCATGAATAATAAGATCTTTAATATCAGAACAATGATTTAAACCATTAGAAACTGCAAGGTGAATAGTATATGTGGAACAGAAAATAGATTTTATATTCATATTTTGAAATGCTTTTAAGATTTTTGCATTATTATCTATAACTCCTCCAATAATTTTATCATACAAGCTAATTTCCTATCTATCAAATATATCAGAAAGTTTTGTAGCAATATTTTCTTCTGAATGATCATATAATATTTTCTCAATTATAAGTAAGGCTTCATATAATTGAAAATTTTCAGTTAACTAATAAATAGTAACGCCAATATATGATCAGTGAAAACCAGTCCAAAGATCTGTAGTAAAACTGGCTTTTTCCATAGTATGATCAAGTAGTTTGACTAGTTCTTGCCTTGCAAATTCAACACTTTGTTCAATAAGTAATTTTATCATTATATCACAAGATGATTCATAACTAGGATGTAATGAATGACAAAATTTTTTAAATTTTGTATTTTTCAATAACGTAAATGATTGTAAGTCATCCACAATAAATTTAAGTAGTCAAAAATTAATATATTCTCATTTTGTTGCAGAGAGAGGCTTAATATTTTCTCATGATTGTTGAAGCATTTGTTGTTAAGATGATTGTAATTGCAGTTTGGTTCCTGGCTGAAGAGATTTTGTATCTTTCGTAATCAAGTGTGCCTTTGTAAGATGGTAGGTATAGGATGATGTTGAGATATTAAGAGAGTAAAATTGTGAACATTTGGCAATGCTACACATTCCGATGTCTTCATTTTCATCATGTTTAAACCACCGCCAAATCCAACTAATATTAATTCTTGTTTTTTTTCTTTTTTTTGTAGATTTGCGTTGATTAACAACCCAAGAACTAGTAGCCACAGCAGAAGATAATTGTTCATGTATAACATTTGTCTTTACGTCAGTATTCTGTTCTTCTTTACTTTGAATACTCTCATTATCAGAATTTTCTTGTGTAGACCAAATATCATATCTACCCATAAGCTTAGCAATATCAAGAGGTGCGGGTAAGGAAATAGAACTAGTTAATGATGAGTGATCAGATAAAATGTTAAGAGTGTGTTCATCTTCTGAAGAAAGTTGGAAGGAAGTAGTTGTAACAGGTGATTGTTGTTTATCATTAGATAACGGTGAAAAAACAGAATTTTCAGCCTGACGAAAAGGTGTTATAATTTCCGATATAGAAGAAGAATCTTGTCTTTGAACTGTCCCAATAATTTCATCAAATATACTTGTACTATTCCTGTCATCCTTTTTAAATTTTTCACTATGTGGTTCGTAGCTTAAGAACTTCAAAGACTGGCTATTCTTTTTGCAAGCATTTTTCCAAGACATTATTGGCGTGACAGATTTTTCTTGCACGATGTAATGAGTATTTCTAAATATGAAAGGTAGTACTTAATTATGATTAACTGCTTTGAGAAAAACTCTAACCGGTTAAGATCTAACTGATTAGGATCACTACTTGCCTTGCTTTAACGAACTCCTAAATATGGAAGGTAATACTTAACCACGGTTAACCGCTTTGAGAAAAATCCTAACCGGTTGAAACTTTTTAAGCGGTTAACCGGTTAAGGTCTAACCGGTTAGGATCACTATATAACATGTATTACCACAGAAATATCCTTTTTTAGTTAAAACGTCACATAAACATATATCGTTGCAAAATCACACAATGATTTATGCAGAGTAAAAGTTAATTTAATATCATTTATAAAATCGCGTAAAAAAAGGAGTGAGAAGTTAATATAATTTATTAAATCCAATATTCAAAAAAATGAAACGTCAGCTTATAGATCACATGAAAACCAGCGGGCACGATTAATCACTCATGTTGCAAAAAATTTCATTTGATTCTCAGTCCGCTTGGGAGTTTTTTGTGCCGCTTCAAGTTTATCCTGCACTTATCGAATATTTGCAATGTCTTGCGAGACACGTGCAATCTTCGATTTTATTTTTGCGGATTTTTTCATTGTTTCAAAGGCTTTTGTGGAAGCGTTTGCCATTGCGGTGATTGTGCGTGGAAAATCGTTTAACGTGGAAATGACATACTACAAACCTTTGGTTTTGCGATCTCTTTTGCAAAAGAATTGACAAACAAGCGCTCACCCGTCGAACATTTAACATCAGGCAAATTATTGTAATCGAACCAACATGTTTTTAATTGTTGGCGTGACCCTAGCTTCCGTTCCATTAGCAATAACAACAATAGTAGATAACGATCCCACACGAATTGCTTCCTCGGTAATTCTTTTAATATGTTTGTTGTCTTGGTGCATTCCGTTCGTGTCACTTAATCCTGGGAGTATTGATAGATATGAATTTGTAGGAAGTAGTCACGGGATGCGTGAATATATACCGAGAGAAAGTTGTTTGGTTAAATCGTCGATTTTTCCTTCCGAGTATTTTTGAAATTTAAATTAACAAATAGCTTTAGATTAGAAATAGCTTTATTCAAAAAATTTATGAAAAAATCATTATCACCTCTTTCTGACACACTGAGATTAATTTATAAACGTATTTTTAATAGCAGATTTTCCGGTTCCGATGACACCCAATAATAAAATCTTAAAGGTGCGTGTTGTGTGATAATACTTATAGCAGCATGAGAAGTAGTAATATTTGAATTTTTTCCACGATGATTTTTATGTCATTTCGCTATAGATGGAGAATTAGTTGTTACTGTAATCAAAGTAGCATAATTGATTATTATCAAAAAAATACAAATCCGGAATGAAATTGAGAAGGAATTTGATTATTGCTATTATTGTTTTTCTCAATCATTATTCTTCTTATTATTGTCTGTGTATTTGATTCGTGTGGGGTGCGATGCCATATATAATACTTTTGAATGGATTTGCAATTCATTTTCTGATAGAACACTTCTGCTTTTTTGTTTATAATCAATATTATTTTCAAATATTCTAATGAATATTGCATTTCAATTCTTCTATAAAGCTTTGTTGACTTAATAGCTCTCGGGTAATTATTTAATATGAACTGATTATACATACCCGCATTATTAAATATCACCACTAATAGCAACTCCTTGTTGTTGTTGGAGAAAATTAGCCTTGTGAAAACATATTCGAAGAAATTGAGTCGCATTCGTATTATTGACATTACCGATATTGTTTAAATAACGGATCAAAAGTGTTCCAAATTTCCTTGTTGTCTATTTATGAAGAAGATCCTTTAAATTGTAACATCTTCATCACTTTGCGTCATCTATATTATTTTGTAAGGTGCTAATCATTTAAATTAGAAGCATCGTCGCTTTTCGCTGTCTTCATCATTCAGTAAAGTTCAACCTACAGATGAAGAAGTGTCGAACGAATTTCCATCGTCATTGCAAACACTCATCATCTTCGCTATGATCATCCTCCAGAGGTGGCGTAAGGGGACGAACTTTTTACGTAACATATTTTTCTTGCCTAATGCTTTGACGATTTTTTCATCATTTTTGTTTATTGAATGTTTTCTATATTATTTTCAAGCCAAATAATTTTTTTAAAATATTAGAATTTGTGAATACCTCATCGGAAATAACGCAAATTCAATTCACTTCCACGATCAGACTGAATTCTCAGTTGATTTCACACTTGAGATCTCAAGTCGCGATATAAAATTCAAACCAAACTTCTTTATCGCGCGGTAACACGTGACG